GTGGCAATTTGTTTGTTGGCCAATGAACTTGAGTGAGGCCTATAATTGGGAACCTAATGATCATGTTGGTTCTGACTTGTCTATGTTATCTCAAGACATTCCACTTAGAAGCCTCGTGTTTGAATATTTTGGACCATCTAATGCACTATGTAGGTTTCATTTCCTTTTGTGTTCATGAAGTTGTGTTTGAATTAGCCATGCATGATTTAAATATGTTTTCTACTGACCTCCATGGTTCTTATTACTCTCAAGCTCTTATGATCCTTGATTGACACTCAATTGTCAATTCAACATGGTGATAGGGAAAAGCAACATTCCTCTTATTCTTTTAACCTAATCTATGTATATGCTTGTCTCCTCTTGCTTATGATGTCTAATATTTGGTAATTGCCACCATATTATTCTCACTTCTTCACCTTTTGGATACTAACTTGGTTGTTGAATATGCGAGGTACTCTGAGAAAGTTGCCACTTTTGGCTTGAGGCTCTTGTGTTCCACTTTATTTGTGGAACACAGTTTATTATATTGGCATTATTTTTGTGCTTGGCATGTCTGATGGTTTATGCAGGATATATACATATATGATTGTGAATGTCATACATTTCCCCTGAGACTTGTTCATATCTGACAGATTCCTGACTCAATTTGTTTACTGATGCCAGCTTGCTTGAAGTTTCTCTGGGTTTCTTTTATTCTTGCTTGATTGCTACAGATAGTTATCTGTTTGGTATTGTACTACTTCCTTTCTCCCATTTTCATCTTGCATAATTCTCTGATTGCATGACGGGACCTCTGTTGCTGATATATGTCAGAAGGCCCTCTGGTTTTTTTTGTCTGATACATGTGTTGTGTTTGCTTGTTGATCGATGAGTCACTTAATTTAGACATTGAGATCACGACTTCACTCTCATTGCATGTTCCTTATAGGATGTTTATTGCTTTTCTTCTTTAATTATTGACCGATGAGTCACTCAATTTAGACATTGAGATCACGACTTCGCTCTCATTGCATGTTCCCTATAGGATGTTTATTGCTTTTCTTCTTTAATTGTTGATCGATGAGTCACTTAATTTAGACATTGAGATCACGACTTCGCTCTCATTGTATGTTCCCTATAAGATAGTTTTGTTGAGCTTTCTTTGACATGCTGATTAAGATAGGAATCCATGTATGTGAACATAGGATAGGATTTTCCTTTATCCTCAACCTTAGGGTCAACCATTGTATGATGACACTAGGGATAGTGCTAGGCTAGTTCCCCTTAGTTATTTTCCTTTTCTTTACTTTACATCTTAAAACAAAAATCTGTTTTCTTGGCAAATCATAAGAACACCTCTAATGAACTCAAACTCCTCTTCAGAATAAAAGATACAAACCAATCTTACTTTGTTTGTGTTATCTTAAAGCCGATGTTTCACCATCGCACATGTCTGTTATCCTACTTTGATTCTCAATATCATTGTTAGGTGTGATGTTTTGTCATCCGCTTTATTGATGTTTCGTCATCTTTGCCATGATATCTTGTTATCTTTTAGCCGATGTTTCGCCATCGCACACTTGTTTGAAGCTGATGTTTCGCTATCGCACATGTCTGTTATCCTACTTTGATTCTCAATATCATTGCTAGGTGTGATGTTTTGTCATCTGTTTTATTGATGTTTCGTCATCTTTGCCATGATATCTTGTTATCTTGAAGCCGATGTTTCACCATCGCACATGTTTGTTATCCTACTTTGATTCTCAATATCATTGCTAGGTGTGATGTTTTGTCATCCGTTTTATTGATGTTTCGTCATCTTTGCCATGATATCTTGTTATCTTGAAGCCGATGTTTCGCCATCGCACATGTCTGTTATCCTACTTTGATTCTCAATATCATTGCTAGGCGTAATGTTTTGTCATATGTTTTATTGATGTTTCGTTATCTTTGCCATGATATCTTGTTATCTTGAAGCTGATATTTCACCATCGCACATGTCTGTTATCCTACTTTGATTCTCAATATCATTGTTAGGTGTGATGTTTTGTCATCTGTTTTATTGATGTTTCGTCATCTTTGCCATGATATCTTGTTATCTTGAAGCCGATGTTTCGCCATCGCACATGTCTGTTATCCTACTTTGATTCTCAATATCATTTCTAGGTGTGATGTTTTGTCATCTGTCTTATTGATGTTTCGTCATCTTTGCCATGATATCTTGTTATCTTTTAGCCGATGTTTCGCCATCGCACACTTGTTTGAAGCCGGTGTTTCGCCATCGCATATGTTTGTTATCCTACTTTGACTCTCAATGTCATTGTTAGGTGTGATGTTTTATCATTTGATGTTTCGCCATCTTTGACATGTTACTTTGTTATTATTTAGTCGATGTTCTACCATCTTATTTGTTCGTTGTTTCATTTGATGTTTTGCCATCTTGACTGTTTTTGTTGTCTTAACTAAAAAACACAAACCAACCAAAACACATAAGCCGAACTACGGCTGCTCTGATTCCTTAAAAAGGATACGAATGCATTGGGGTAGGGCCCAACCGAGCATAACTTTTTATTTTCCCTACATTGTTTTCTTTTTCTTTCGCACGCATTCCCTTTTTATCTTTAAGCCATAGACATAGGATTTGACCACACCCATTAGATTAGACAACAATAGTGGATACCATAGAGTACTATGGGCGTGTGGGGTGCTAACACCTTCCCCTCGCGTAACAGACTCCCTTACCCGATCTCTCGGTCGAAGGACCGTGATTTCTCCCTTTTCAGGTTTTCTCGATGTTTACCTTTCCCTTTTGGCGGGATAAAAGACGTTCGGTGGCGACTTCATTGTTTGATGATTTTCAGCCGATCGTTTCAATGACTTTGCTATTTTTTGGGTTTCAAACAGTGTTGAGACGTATTTTGTTAACTTGCTGCAAAAGAAGTGTGGTTGTAGGAAGTGGGATTTAACCAGAATCCTATGTTGCCATGTTATCGCTTGCATATGGTATGCCAAGAAAGAGCTCAGACATTTTGTTTCATCGTTCTATAGGTAACACTACTTCTCATATTATGTTAATTATCCATAATCTGATAACTTACTAATGCATAATTTTTATGTGAATAGGAAGTCTACTATGTTGGCAACTTATGGCCATATCGTTATGCCAACTAATGGCCCACACCTATGGCTTGCTAATGTTACTAACACAATCAACCCTCCAGTCATGAGGAGGTCTATCGGTCGTCCAAAAAAACATCGCAATAAGGCAAATGATGAACCAAGAATAAGAAATACACTGCCTAGAAGTCTTCAAACTGTCAAGTGCAAGAAATGTGTTAACTTTGGCCATAACAAGCGAACGTGTAAAGGGAAGAGAGTAGTAGAGAGAGATTCCTAAAGGTGACAATAAAAAGACGAAAAAAAGGTTGACAAAGTGGTTGGACAAACGGTAATTGCAGGAGGATCACAAGCACCGCCATCAACCCAAGAATAGTCACTCTATTATGTTGCAGTTTGTTTTGTGTTGTTTGTTATCTCTTTTGTAATTACCAAAATATTTAGGGACATGTTTAAGTTGTTGTCTGTTATGCAACCCAAGAATAGTCACTTTGTTATGTTGCAGTTGTCATGTTTAAATTTTTGTCCTAGTAGTTTGTTATGCTGCTAAACTGTTATATTATGAAAATTATGGTTACAAGTTATTACATGTTTGTCAAATAGTTTAAGCTTTTATTTATGGCCAAATTATAGCAAAAAATTTATTACGCAACATTAGAAAATTATGGCCATAGACAAAATTGCAGATAAAGTAACGAATTGGGCAAACTTATGGCAATAGACACAATTGCAGATAAAGTAACGATTTTGGAAAACTTATGACAATAGACGCAATTGCAGATAGATACAATTGTAGATAAAGTAACAATTAAAGTACATAGACTTAGAGAAAACTTATGTCAATTTTCATTCCATAAAAAACAATGATTCAAGTACAAGAAGAGAAATTACATCGGATCTAATTTTAGTTAATACCCTACAACCAACTTCATTTGAGTGCATGTGTTAGAACCAATACAAACACAATTAATAACACAACCACCATACATAAACCAACAAAATAAGGCATCAACTTAATCTTCATCTTAAGCAAATCTTCACTATTCTTGATGTCCCTAAGTAAAGCAGTAATCTCGTCATTCAAAGTTTTAATCAAATTTTTTGCTTTGTTGCTCGTTTCTTCATCAAACCATTGAAAGTAATTACAACCTATTTTCTTCAACACCTTGAAGTTACCACAACCATGAAATCTTCTTCCTAAATTCTCGTAGGTCCATGACATCATCAATAGAGACTCAAGCTCACACCAACATCTACTCTCTCTTCTTCTTGCACCGGACTGATTTGTTGAGGCAAATGAAAGATTTGTTTCAGACATACCTGGTGGGTGAAGGAAACGTCGAAGGAGTTATAAATACTGGGTTGTTTGGAGACTGAAGAAGAGGACAATGGGAAGAAACAGTAGATGAAGGGTTTACGAGACATGAGAAGAAGACAATAGGAAGAAGCAGGCGCTGCTATGAGGATAAATGTGGGGTGATTAGGGTTTATGAGGATAGATGTGGGGTGATTAATATAATATTGACTTATTTGCATAAATTAAACATTAAAATAATAATGAAATTAAAAAAAGTGAATTATATTAATATTTGCATGACATGGAACTGACACGTCATCAAAAATAATGTCATGTCATACAAAAACGCCTTCAAATTTGAAGGAGACTAAAACTCACGTTAAAAATTAAAAAAAAAAAAAAAAAAAAAAAAAAGACTAAAATAGTGAATTTAAAAATGGAGGACCAAAATCAAATAAATTATTAAACAGAGAACCAAAGTTGAAATTAAACCAAAATTAAAATACCGACAAAATGATGATATTAAATCTATAATAAACCACAAATATGATCACAACACGAACAAATAATTTCAGCACTACAAAGGTAGTTCCAGTCACCTTGATTTTTATGATTTTTCACCTAAACTTAGTTCCCGAAATGATGACTCAGATTCTTCAAGTAGTTCAACCTCAAACAAGGCATCTTCAATAGCCCCAGACAGTTTCTTGTCCTTATTAGCATTATGGAAACAATGTCTTCTTTTAGCATCAACAACTACGTTTCTCCAAACAGAATAACTGTCGATTAAAGTATTTGCATTCCCTAATATCCAAAGACAATACCTAGCCCTAGTGATTGCCACGTTAACTCTTTGTTCATTAGAAAGAAACCCAACTTTTCTACTCTCATTTGATCTCACAGTTGATAATATTATAATATCTTCCTCCCCACCTTGAAAACCATCAACAGAACCAACATTAACTGAGAAGTCGGTATCAACCGCTAGGTACTGCTCAACTTTCTCCTGGATTTCATAAACTTGAGCACTATATGGAGATATTATTCCTATGCTAACTTTCTTCTTTGTCCTCATGAACTCTGCAAGAAAACAAATGGTTACAAGTATGAATGCATATTTCATATTAAATTAGAGTCAATAACAGCGAACTCATAGTATAAGATAGAGAAACTAACGTTGTTTAAGGCTTTCAATTATATTTGAAATAACAGCAACCTCAACCATGTTCTTCAAACTGTGTCCACGACCAAATTGCTCTTTACCCTTAGCTATGTTAATAAAAGAATAAGGACCATACATTTCTCCTTTAAGGAAACTCTTATTGTAGCTTTTTTCCCTTACAACAAGGGCATCAGAAAGTTTTCCATCATAAAACTTTTTGCATGGAAATAAGCTAATGGATGGATGCATTCTATACTGAACATTAAGCATATGCCTCTTGTATCCCAATGTTACCAGCCTCTCGAACATACTTCGTCCAAACTCACACTTGTCTGCCATCTACAAACATGATTTCAAATTATATCATCCAACAAGCTTCAAGCAATAATAATAGAACATTTATTAATTACCTTGCTTTTAACCAGTGCAGGAAGCTGTCTCTCGTCGCCTATAAGGATGCAACGGGTAAGACCTGGCAGCTGCAAAGGAATTGTTGATTCACATTCTTTTAGCATAGCTGCTTCATCAATAACTAAAAACTTCACTGGCCTCATCTCTTCTGAGTAAAATTTAATAGAACTTGATGCAGTACACAAAATTAGAGTAGCATTCGACAAACAAAATCCTTCTACTCGACCATTCACTTTAAATTCAGGAAACGGAATTGAATTAGAAAGTAAATTTAGTAAGCGAATGCACTCATTTCTATCCAAGCTTGATGGTCCAAAGCAAGCTGGAATGCTTTCTTCTTCACAGCCATTGACAGTTTGCTTAAACTTGGCTTGTCTCAAGGAAATTTCTAGTGATTTTAACAAGTCAAGAGCCTGGAGCATATTGTTCACTGAAATGAAAGATTTTGGCATGTGAGTGCATAAGGTATGTATCAGGAACTTGAGCTTCTCTCTTAATTCTCCGAATCTACGCTTTACAAATTGCTCCATAGTCATGATACTTTGGTATAGCTCTAGAATGTCTTTCCTTGCCCTTTTCACATAATCCTCAAACGTCACAGTATCATCATATTTATTTTGCTTGTATGTACTATAAGTAGATCCTAAAGTATTATACATACAAAAAGCATCAAAGGACTTATAACCCATCTTTGAGAAAATTTGACCTCTAGGGTCCCCATCCCCAAACAGCTGCATTAGGCTGGTGTATAAGGTTTGCATGATAGATTGGAGGCCGTTCGTTCTCAATTTCTCAATTCTCTCTTTCACAAATTGCTCAGTTATCAACATACATTCCTTTTTATCAAGCTCATCTAATTGGTATAGCTTTGTGATGTCTCCCCATGCCTGTTGAACAAATAACTCAAACTTCACAACAAGACTTTGCCTCTGGTATGCATGATATGCATATGCTATAACACTATCTTCTTTCATAACAAAATCCTTTTGGGACATCTCCAAAAAATACTGTTCTTTAGGGTCCCTAAGCAACTTGATCAATGATTCAAAGTTAGGCTTCCATTCAGCATAGCACTGCATAAGATTTTTTACGCGATAATCCAGAAAGATATCTTCAAGTCCAGGATAACAGTCTAATTTCATTCTCTTACTATTTCCAGACAGCACAATGTCACCCAAACCATATGAATCATGCCCCAGTGAATCCCCAACTATACTAAGCAACCTTGTTGCCACTTGCAACACTGCAGTATTAGTTGGAGCACAAGTCAATGTCCTGGTTTTTAACTTGAGTAGAGAAAATAACAAGCAAGCAACTGTTTTTGTTTTTCCTGTCCCTGGAGGTCCCCAAATAAGCTTTGTATTTGCATGTGAACAATTTATCATACTAACACAGCTTGAAACAGCTTCTTCTTGTGATGCATTCAGATTCTGAGAATTAATTATGTCTTTTGTAATGAAAGAGGCTTGGTTGTTTGATCTCGAAATGCAAATTTTGCAACTCTCTCCGCTATTGAGACCAGATTGCAATACTTTTTCAATAATGTTGAGGTGATCTCCTTTTGACTGTGAGTTCAAGGCTCTCCAAATACGAACATTTGTTGTCATGTTCATAAGGAAAACTGCATACATTTTCTGTTTGTTGTATTTCCTGAAGACAGATTCAATCATATATTTGGATGACATGACTGAGATTTTATCAGAAGATTGAAATTTACCTCCACTAACATAGGCAATATGGTAGGGACTTTTGAGTGTGTTCAAGTCATTTAAGCTCTTAGGCCTAATGTGTGTGATAGCAATAAGATCTCCTGATCCAGGTTCATATTTTCCACCATTTTCAACTCTATCAAACTCAGTTGTCATCTTCAACGTCAAGATATGACGGAACCGAATGAATTGCTTCTGAGCATTGGGAAGTTCCAATTGTTTGCTTTCTTGAACGTTCTTGATTTCACAAAAAGGAGCTCGAGACACACCAGTCAAGCTAGAAGATAAATCGGCGTGTGTTTCCTCAAACAATAGAGGAATGAAAGAGTTCTTGTAATCTGTTGCTGAGTTAAACGTTTCTGGAATCTTATTAACCTGAAAGAGAACAATTCACAGAAGACAAGAAAATGTTAGACCTGGGCAATTTTCAAGAAACAATAGTTCACTTTTTCATTGCAAGTGTTGAAAAGGGTGTAAAAACAAACCTTGTCTTTGTAAAGATTTTCATTGAGAACATCCTGAAGGGTCCATGAGAATACAACATCTAAAAGCCTGCCAAGTTTATGATCATCTTCTCTTGCATTAGTAGTCATCTCCATCCTTTGATCTTTCTCAATCTCAACTCTAAAGCTAACATTCAGAAAAAGAATTTAGTATCAAAGCACCTAGATGAAAATACACCATATGATCTAGAGAATGGAAACACCTAAGGAACTAAACAGTTAAAGTGAAAGTTATGTTTAATTATGGGAAAACCAGTATTTGTTATTAACTGCACAGAGGGTAGTTTCATAGTGTTAAGGAGTTGACACACCATCTTTATCCAAACAGCATATTCATTTCCTTTTCTCAATGCATGATTAAAAAGAGACCACCCATGAAGAGAAGTGAACATCCTAATAAGAGAGAATAAAGTTGCATGGGATAAAGGTCATTCGGACACAATATATGACTTGAATATGTGCTTATAAGTGGGGGCAATTATCACCTTACAAGCCGATTTGTAGGTGTTTACAAGTGAGCATCATGGCTAAATGGGAGATCACAAAATTTTCCAGAGACAATGATTTTGGGTTGTGGAAAGTGAAGATGCAAGTAATTTTAACTCAAGAGAAGTGTATTGAAGCTTTGAAGGGAGAGACATTGATGCCTACAAGGCTTACACCAGTAGAAAAGACCGAGATAGTGGATAAGAACAAGAGTGTCATTAGCTTGTACCTTGGGAATAAAGTTCTAAAGGAAGTCGCCAGAGAGCAGACTGCTACTTCGATGTAGATAAAACTTGAATCATTGTATATGACTAAGTCTTTGCCTCGCAGGTTGTGCCTAAAACAACAATACTATTTATTCAAGATGGAAGAGAATAAATCCATAGTGGAGCAATTGACAGAATTTCACAAGATTATTGATGATCTTGAGAATATTGAGGTGGATATTGATGATAAAGACAAGGCTCTAACTTTGTTGAGCTCATTACCCAGATCTTTTAAAAACTTTAAGGATGTCCTCCTTTGTGGTAAGGAATGAACTATTACTTTGGATGAAGTCCAGACGACCGTGAAATCCAAAGAATTTTCAAAGGCAAAATATTTGAAGATTAATAATAGTGCTGAAGGTTTAAGTGTCTCAAAAGGAGGAACTGAGCGTGGAGGAACGTCCAAGTCAAAGAGGTTTGACAAGTCAAAGGTAAAATCTCTTAATTGTCAGAAAATCAGTCACTTTAAAAAAGGATTGTCCTGAGAGAAAGGTTAATGATGATTTTGTTCAAGTTGTGGTTGCTTTAGATGAGGATGGTTATGAAAATATTGATGCACTAGTGTTATCGAGTTTGGAGTTTGAAGATAGTTGGTTCATAAACTCAGATTGCTCCTATCACATCACATGTGTCTAAAAATAAAATACTTTGAGACTTTGAAGCTTGAGCAAGGTGGAGTAGTTCGCCTTAGTGATAATAAAGCTTGCAAGACTCATGGTACTAGTACGATCATACTTAAAATATTCAATGATCGCGAGTTTCTTATTCATAATGTGAGGTATGTTTTAGAACTCAAGCGATTTTTTTTGTCCATAAGCATGTTTGGTGATCTAGGCTATTGCACTAGAGTTGAACGTGGAATGTTTAAGATTTCTCATGATGAAGTGATCATTGTTAAAAGGTCTAAAATATGTGGTCTATATATTTTAGAAATTTCAAATGTTGTTGTTCATTCATCATTAATTAGTGAATACTTTTATAACCAGAACAAGCTATAAGGTTTGAGGTCAAGGCATGATGATTTCCTAAAAATTGTTTCAAAATAGTTTAATGAATTTTGCAAAAGACAAGGGACAAAGATGCAAGAGACTACTGGGTTGTCATTGAGTTTCTGGGGTAAGGCATGTGTCAAAGAAAATTACTTGGTTGGTAGAGAGTTCTTTCAGTTAAAGGAGAATAAAAATCAAGAGATGAAGCTTTTAGAAACTATGGTGGAGAAAACTCGGATTGAGATGGAGTTTCCTACTATGGATACTAGTAGTAGTGAGAGAACAGTTACATAGGCCTTTAATTATTATTTGACTCGTGATAAGGTGAGGAGAAAGATTGTAACATCTCAAAGGGACAAATTATGTTTTGAATGTGGCTAAAGGGTTGCAAAATATAAAAACATGGACCTTCAGGGATGCGTTCAAAGGCATAAACTCTGGAAAGTATTTTAGAAAGTCATAGATTCTGAAACCGGGGAAAAAAAGAAGAAGGCAGCGCTGGAGCCGCGTTGATAGCGGGCTGGGCCGTAGAGGCGGCGGCCAGAATCGGAGATCGGCTAGAGCATGGCGATAGAGGGCCTCGGTCAGTCGGAGAGCGACGACGGTGCCGACAACCAGTGGTCGGAAGGCGGTGGTGCCAGAATATGAACGACAGCGGGTCCCGTGATACACGATGGAGGGAACACGTATGGTAGCAGATCGACAGTGGCGGGTGTGTACGGTTGGCGGGAGTGTTTACACACCATTCAAATTTATTATATATTTTAGCTAGTTTTCTCGGTTTGCGTGTTTTGAGACTTTTTGATTCGGTTCATGGATCCATTTGCTAATGGGTTATATTTTTGGATTTGTTTGTTGGATTTTGGCAATTATAAATATGTATCTCTTCTATTATTAAAATGTGACATTTTTAGAGTTTTAGAGCAAAAGGGAGAAATAAGAGTTTAGGAAATTCCAAGGAAAAACTTAGAAAGACAAGGGTTTTTTCGGAAACCTTTGGAGTTATCTAAGGAGATTGGAAAATACTTCTAAACACCTTGGATTTGTGTGATTCCTATTTAGATAGTTGGAGAAATTGGGAAACATTTGGGTAGAAAATAGAATTTGTTCTTGGGAATTTGGAAGACTATTTTCTTGTAACTTGTTTGTAATCTCTTGTAAGAACTTTTGGAGTATAGTGAATTTAATCGAATTGGATAAACAAACCTTTTGTGTTTCTCGACTTATTTTATCTTATTGTGCAATGTTCACTGCCTTATTGGTTATTATTTTTTAAGGTCATTTATTTTGGTTGTTATGATCTTTGTCCCCACACATCAATTTTTTTGGTGTGAATTGAACCTTATCTCACAATCTTGCATGTAAAAATCATTAGGATAAGTGGGATAAAAATATATTCTAGTATACTTTGATAAGAAACAAAGCAAGGTTACTTTGTTGAGCGAGCATTTAGTGAGTTCCAAGCGAGAGGAGGAAGAGAGTTTCAACTTTCAAACATCAGGAAGTTCTTTTAGCGAGCAATATTTCGCTAAGCAAAAGTTCACTTAGCGAGCCATATATCGCTAAGCGATGTTTGACGATTTCAGAAGGGAGGTTTGAACAAGACTTAAGGATGAAGAAAAGTTAGTTCTCTAAACAAACCTTTCCTCGTTGAGCGAACATGACAGAACATAAATGCTATAAATAGTGGCAGGATCATTTCAGTAGGATATCACATCTTGTAAAATTAGTAATAGAGTATAAAATAGACAGTAAGAAAGGTTGACTGAAGGAGGCAAGCTTGATACACATCAAGAATTGGGAAATCATCGTTGATGCTCATTAATTTCAATCCTTCCATTTTGTATCAAGCTACTATGAGTAGCTAAGTCCATTATCTTGTTGGGATTGGACGTAGTTCATCATAACATTATGTATTTTTATTAATCATGGTGTTATATACAATCTATTTATGAATCTATATCGATTTTATCTTTGTTTTATCGTTTAACTTCATGGATTTGAATTGATATTGAGAAATACGGTTTGAATCTTGATCTAATATAATCATTTGTTAAATTCTAAATTCTAAACATAGATTTAGGTTTAACATTCTCCATAATGATCGATTCTTAATGTTGTCGTGTTGTTTAATAGGCTAAGAAATCGTCGAGCAAACAATAAGGTAGAAACCTTATCTGAAGTTTAGACATAAACTCTATTTATAAGTGATACGTGATAGGATGCATTTACAAAATCATCTCTAAGGTGTTGGTAAATAGATTGAAAAATTGATTGACACAATCAACTTTCATTTTAGGTAGGCAAATTTTGGATGATGGGACTCTAGTTGCAAATGAAATTGTTAACGATGCTAAGAGAAAGAATAGATAATAGATTCTTTTTAAAGTGTAATTCTAAAATCAATATGATTTCATTGATTGAAACTTTTTAGCCTCTGTGATCTACACAAATGGACTTGAATGAGAAATGGTTAAAGTGAATTTTTGAATGCTTAAGTTCATCCTCAGTTTATGTATTGGTGAACGAAAGTTCAACTAAAGAGCTTAAGAAGAGAAAAGGATTAAGACGATGAGATTCTATTTCTCTTTTCTTGTTCCTTATAATAGTGGAATGTTTTAATATAATGATGAATAAAGTTGTTGAGTTGGGTAAGTACTCAAGATACAAGTTTGAGGCAGATGATGGTTGATACTCTCACTTAAAATATGCAGATGATATCTTGATCATATAAGTTAAGAAGTGGTTGAGTGTTTGAATTATAAAGGCAATTTAATTGTTGTTCAAATCGATGTCTTGCTTGAGAGGAAACTCTCAAAAGATTTCACTAGCAGAGATTAGTGTTCCTCGAAACATGATTGAAGAGGTAGCAAACATCATAAATTGTAAAATAGGTTTTACCCATTTCAAATATCTCGGCCTCCCAATCGAGACAAATCAGAAACTGAAAAATACTTGGATGAATAAACATCTATCTATTGTAAACTAACCGGTCTTTTTAAAATTAGTCTTCTAAGAAATTATATTGAAAGGATGTTTTATGTATAATATTGTATGTCTAATGAGATCACACTGAGTGTATATTTATACTCATATGGGTTGCACATAATAAATTAATACAATAAATCCTATTAATACAATATTAATACTAATCAAGTCTAATTGATCACTAATAGATTCTAACAGATTTTAACATTCCCCCTCAAGTCATATCATATATGTCATATGATCCAAGCTCTTTACAAATGTAATCCACTCGAGAGCCCTTGAGATACTTTGTGAACATATGCACCAATCGGTCTTCAGACTTGACAAACTTTGTGGTGATTTTTCATGAACATGCCTTGTCCCTTACATAGTGACAATATATTTTTATGTGCTTGGTCCATTCATAAAAAAACAGATTAGATACAATATGGAGTTCCATTTGATTGTCGCATATGAGTTTTGTGGCCGGAAGATCTCTCAACCTAAGCTCTAACAGTAAATTTTTAAGCCATGGAAGCTCCTTTGAATATGTTTCTATAGCACAGTATTCAACTTCGCACTAGATAGTGCAATTGTATTTTGTTTTTTACTACTCCATGAGATCATATTACCTCTAATAAGGATAAAATATCCAAAAGTGGATCTCTTATCCGACAGTGATCTGGCATAGTCTCCATCTAAATAACCAATGATTTTAGCATCACCCTTAGATAAGAAGAAAGATACACCGACCTGTAGAGGAGTGGAGGAAGAAAACATAGTGATATGCTTCAGATCTAGTCATACCAAATTGTATCAAGGCAGAGCTTAAGCAACAAAACAAGCATGTGGGGATTGTTTTAAACCATAAAGTGAACGACAATCTAACAAACAAGTCTTGAATTGACAAGAATAATAAAACCTGGAGGTTGGTCCATATAAACTTTCTCCTCTAATTATCCATGTAAAAAAGACAATTTTAATGTCAACCTAGTGAGGCAACCAATGATGAATAGAAAACCATTGCAAAAAAGAGGCAGACTAGACTGATCTTGGCCACCGGAGAAAAATTTCACCATAATCAAGACCAAATATATGTGTGTATCCTTTTGGGTACCAAACGTACTTTGAAATGATCTATCTGACCATCTGGTCCAACTTTCAATGTATAAACCCATTGACATCCCATTGTAGTTTTGTATGGAGGTAAAGTAACAATGTCACAAGTGTTATTAGAATGCAATGCATCCATTTTTCCACCGTCACCCGACGCCAATTGGGACCAGTCATAGCCACCTGTAGACTTAGGAATAAACACAAAATCCAAAGCAAAAACAAAAGAGACATCGGAAGTAGAGAGATGATAACAATTTAAAACACAAGCATATTTAGGATTAGGATGATGAGACTAAATACCTTTTGATAATTCTATTAGAAGGTCAAGTTTAGGTGATGTAACTGGAGGATTTATTAGAGCAGGAGATGGTGCTGGTGGATCAATATTATCTCTTACCTTCGATGGACGGGGTGTCCATTGTTGATAGACGTGTAATGGAGGTGTAGGGGTTGCATAGCATGTGGGAATGATGGAAGGGATATCTCGAACATATGAAGTACAATTCTCATCAGGTGACACAAAAGTAGAAAAGAATAGGGAAGTTTCAAAGAATATGACATTGGAGGAAACAACGTATCATTGAAGTTAGGGGGAAAAAATAGGGATATCATTTTTGTATAATTGGGTAGCCTATAAAAATATGTTTGAGAGATTTAGCTGAAATTTTGTCTTTATTGGGACAGCAGTCATAAACAAAGCATGTGAAACCAAAAAGGCATAGTGGAAGGGGGTAGATATCATGTTGGGGGTTTAAGATAGAGTATGAAATCTAATCTTGAAGGACATATGAAATCATTCAGTTGATAAGGTGATAAGTTTTGATAAGAGCATTACCCCAAAAATGAGATGGGACATTATGGTGAAGTAAAAGAGTTTGTGTAGTTTCAACCAAATGATGATTCTTTCATTCAATGACACCATTTTGTTGTGGTGTGTAAGCACATTATGATTGATAAATAATCCCTTGTGATGTTAAAAAGGATTGAGACTAGGATGACATATATTCACGAGCGTTATCAGTGGGTAAAATTTTAACGAAAATGTCAAACTAGTTTTTAATTTCGGCATAAAATTCTTAGAATATATGGAAGACATATGAACGATTTTTCATTAAAAATATCCAAGTACATCGTGAAAAAATATCGATGAAAGTTACAAAGTAATAATACCCTAAAGTTGACTTGACACGACTAGGAACCCAAATATTAGAATAAAATAAAGCAAAAGGTGACACAACATATTTATTTTTTTTGTTTATAGTTATGACAAGTATGTTTTCCTAATTGACACGATTGACACTCAAATGACGAAAGCATAAACAAACTAGGAACTAAAAGATGTGATTTATTAAGGCTAGGGTGACCCTAAAGTTGATGGATAAGGCTTTGAGAAGCAATAGGAGCACATACCACAGGTGGAGATAGATGATATAATCCTTTAGACTCACTCCATGTACCAATCGTCTATCATGCACACCTATCCCGGACATAAACAAAATTATCAATAATGATGACTGAACAATAAATGGTACGAGTGAGTTTGTTAACATATAATAGATTAAAAGGACAACCATGAATATATAGCAGTGAATGTAAAGAAAAGTTTGGAAGTTGGTGTGTGTGAACAAGGCCTTGAACTTTGATTTTAGATTCATTCGCCACAATGACATAAGGCAAAGAATCAAAATAAGACAAGTGAGATAAAAGAGATTTATTATTAGTCATATGAACAGAGGCAACAAAGTAAATGACCCAAGTACCAAGGACCAAGGGAATATGTAGAGATAAAGGCTACATGATTACCATATTTAGAAACGGTGAAAGAAGATAATGGTTGGTGGGCTGCTTTCAATTGAAGGAACTCATTGTAATCAGTGGCCAAAATAGTAACATCTTTAGTGAAAGTTGCAATAGTCGATGGTAGAGTGATCTCTCATGAGAGTTGGTGGCTGAAACAACATGCAAACATAGTGAAATAGGGGTTCTTTGAACTAGAGCATAATTTTTTTGTGAGTGGAAAATAAAATCTGAGGTCGGATCTGGAATCGGTAGGTAGACGAGTGGACAACAAAAAACTCGTCAAAATCAGTCGCAAGACGCATTGTCACGCACGAGTTACATGGTGGTGTATGAGGGTCACCCGCAGATATTGCACCGGCGCGTTAGGGCGCGTGTGGAGGCAGTTTGGGGCTAGGCCGGATCAGAGTAGGTGCTTCTATATGGATGGGTGGTGTGCTGAAAATTCATTGAAATCAACAGCAGTAGTAGTCAGTGATACGACAAGGTTGTTAGGGAACAAAAGAATGGATCGTAAAACCCTTAACTTATAATACCATCTTAGAATATGTGGGTTGAAACTAACTCATCCCTACAAATCGTCTTGTAAGGTGAGGATTTCCCCCACTTATAAGCACATGTCCACGCTATATATTCCATGATGTGGGACTTATAACAATTTGTAAATGACATTATGAAATTCAATATGGCTTCCAGATACATAATTGCTTCTTTGAAAGATAGATATCCAGAGAATATGACGAATGTTACCCATGTGTATAAGGCAAGATTCACATACAAGATGAGCAAAAGAGATCCATTGACAAAAACGCAACATCTGCTGAAACTAATTCATGATGAGAAATACATGTAGTGGACTAGAAACATGGATAATCCAAATGTTTTTTATATCTGTTGGATGCATCCTGATTTAGTGAAGTTGTTGAACATGTTTCATTTGGTGTTGATTTTTTATTGTACATACAAAACAAATAGGTATTGCATGCTCCATTTGCTTCTATTTCCATTTATTTAATTTTGGGTTGGAAATTATTAATTATTTTTCACGTGGTTACTTCATTAGAACAACACATGGGTTCCCTTGTGCATGTGAACTTGCATGTCTTCAAATTCAAGGTGACCCTATTTTGTTAGAATTGATTCATGTGTTTTGAAAGAAATTATACATTTAAGAGCATGAAGTCACTCAAGAAGATAGTGGGACACATTTTGATTTAGAAGAATAGTGTGAAGAGTTGAAGAGGTATTTCAGTATGGGTGATAAAAAAAGTCCGGGAACTAACACATCCATCTATAACTTCTATGTGTCCACCACTAGTGAAGTACAAGTCATAAAGGGAAAATAAGAAGAGTAAAAAGGGTCAAGACAAAGATATGCATCGTGATCCTTTGTAATGGGAGTATGTCGGGGGATCACAGAGAAGTCAGACTACGAAGAGATCATGTACAAAACCAATTGAAAGTGAATTGTGTAGCTAGTATTCAAAACATCTTTACTTGTTTGAGTTTCATGTTTTCTTACATAAGTACATTGATGACATTGTTGATGTGGGTAAAGATGAAATTTGTAATTTCCATGCTATTGCAACTTTACTTGGATGAGGCAAAGAGTCTTGGCCTTTGGTTCAAACGTAGTTAGATATTGAAGTTTATCAACACCATCAAATGTATTCGAATATGTTTTATAACACAGTACCAGAAGTTAGGAGTGTGATGCGGGTAACTAGCTTGGTTATGCAGTGTCAAGAGAAATGGATGATACTCTATTACTTTTAAATACAATATCATATTGGTCTTGTTGCCCAGAAACTTTAACATCATATTCTTACTATTAGTGATAACTTCATGCATAGCTTCGAGTATACACAATTATTATAGTTGATTTTGTTGACAACAAACATTGGGTTCAGGTGAAGTTGACACCCAATTATTTGTTGTCTCTCGTCATACACCCATGGAGACAAAACTGTAGTGAAGGTGCAAGAGCATGAGAATCAGCATATGCAGGACATATTAGACACTGGGAAGAAGAAGTTAAGAAGTCAACACAATTTATTTTGTATTTATGTTGTAGCACTTTGCGTTATATGTATATAATTTATCGGATATAGTTTGTTAAAAATGTCAAAAACTTATGATTTTTCATAGTTTTCGGAAAATTTGGTACGTATCGAATTTTTCAAAATATTCAGTACATAGTATAGGTAATCGGTTTTTTCTTAAACAAAAACCCAGTATATATGCACTATGATTTTTTATCAACAATTTCATAAATGTCCAATATTTTATTAAATATTTGTAAAATATCTTATATTTTAAAAAAATGATATTTCTTAAACTAAATGAAAAGAAGAAGAAAAATGCAAAACATATAATACTACACTGAAAAATCCAATAACTTCATTTACTTTGAAAACATTCAAAAAAATAAAATAAAAACATAACTATAATAGCAACCCTCATGTAGAATGTTAGATCAAAGTGCGAAGGTGAAAGGATAAAATCTTTTATTCATGTCATGTCTTTAGGCCCAAATACTTTTTTTTTTCTCCTAAAAACTAATTCTATTTTATTGGAATTTTTTTGTTGAAACAATCAGGTTTTAAAAAAAATACACAAATAACTATGTTTCGGAGAAAATTATGCAAATAACCATGTTTCAAAAAACCCCACAGAGGAGGAGCCAACCCAGTTGGCACATGCACTTAAAAGTAAAGGGGAGGCGTCATTTCACTTGGCGCCTAGGTGTTAAAAGTTTTCCCTAAGCCATGTGAGATGACGCCTAAGTGCAATAAAGGTACAATTTTTTTCATTTTTTATTTTAAATGCGGGACATTAGGTAAACGATATAGCTTCACGAAAATTTGACTTTTTATTTACAAAAAACGATTTATAATAAATAAAAAACATACAAAATAATTAGTGGTCCCCCGAAACTCAGTAACGACCGCAGTTCCGCATCTGCGTCCTCATCTGTCTCGTGGTGGGTTTTGTCGTGTTTCCTATTGTGGCAGGATCGATGACCCAACGAAGTCAATGTGTTCCGGATTCATGAAATCGGTCAGATATCTATATCTGGAAGATCCTCTTTGGTACAGCCGGTTGTGTAACGCCCCGATATTTAATTATTTATTTAATTAAATATTATTTTGAATATTTTATTTTTAATTCAAATTTTTATCGTTGAAGTCGGGATTATTTTATTAAGTTGGAATAATAATTTAATCAGGTTTATATTGGTATAAATAAGTTGAAATGTCATTTTACTAATAAGCCTAGAATTGATGTTGGGCTTAAGTGTGGTGTCGCGAAGTAATAAGGAGGGTGTATTGGTTAGGCCCATTTAAGTTACTAAGAATTGAATAATAATATTTTATTAGAAAATAGAAGAAAAGAGAGAAAGTGGTGTTATCAGGAAAAACAAAATAAGAAGAGAAAAGAGAATAGGGTTTTGTGAGAAGAGAAGAGGAACGAGAAAGCTGTTGCTAGGGCCAATCTTAGAAATTCCATTGAAGCTTCCTTGAGTGCTTTCAAATCAACCAGGTAAGGGTGGGCTTCTTATCCTATAATGGGGTGTATGATATTTTGTATGTGGGGATTTGTATGTGAAATTGTTACTATTTTATTGACTTGTGTTAACTTGTGTTGTTGTGATAATAATTGATTTGATTATAGAATTGTCAAAGAATAGGTGTGTTGTTGTGTTATAACTTATCTCTGGAATGGAATTGGTATCGCAAGACAGTATAGCAAGAAAATTCCATGAAACAGTATCGAAGATGAGAGGAAGAAATAGGTGAAAGTGTCATTCGGCACTGGTTGTATGTGGGGGGGCTGTCATTCGGTAGCCTTTAGATGAAAGAGGGAAGTGCCGATCGGCACTAGGCAAGGGTGGGAGAAAAAGTGCCACTTTGGCACTGTGAGGCAGGGGCACTTGCTTCTCTGTTTTCTCTGTTTTCTCTGTTTTATTTTTCTATGGCACTATGCTGCATAAAATTTAAATGATATCAGTAATAGCTTATAGCAGTATATATGAATGTCACTGTTTTCAGTAGCGGTAAATTAAATTAGTTGCTAGAAGCTAGTTTTATGGGGAAGAATGACACATCCATAGGTTGTATAATAAATTAGTAATTGAGGGAGAATAATTAACAATGGACTATATATATTTTAAATGGCTAAATTAGTATTTTATTAGTGATGAAAATAATTTAGCAGTGGGATTAATTGATTAAGTTGGCAAGTAATTGGAAACAAATCGATTAATTCGGTATGTTGGTATATTGATGTATTTTGCGAATTGATCGAAATTTCGTTTTGTTTCGATATATCCGTGGTGAATAAATGTTGTGATTTACCCTTGATTAATTGGTAATGACTGTGATATAGGCCTTTGGCCAATGTTGAAGGTGTGAATCGTTGGTATGTCGACCTTTATTATGTTGTTGTTGTTGTTGCGTTGCCAAGTTATGGTTGTTTATATCATCGCATAGCATAGCATTAAAGTTGGCCTGAATTGGCATGTTCTAAGTTGGAGCGAATGCTCACCGTGTTGGCCTTTATTGGCAAGATTTATGTTGAGGGCTTATGCCTTATGCCTCGGTAAACTGGTACTTTCTAAGTTGGGAGTTCCGCTCCAATGGTACCACATACATTTGCATAATTGAGTCGCATTTGAAGTCATTGATTTTGTTGCTTATTTGAAGTGTTATTTTTGCAAGGTAATGTTATAAGTTGAATTGAGGTGTTGGTGAATGGTATTGTTTTATGTTGATTTGGTATGAAGTGGTGATTTTACATAAACTGATTTCGACATGTTATTTATCATATGTTCTATTATAGTATTCGATAACTCACCCATTTTGTTTGAATGTTACCTTTTGTTGGTAACGTGCAGGTAACCAAGAGGAGTAGCCGTTAGCGTTGTTAGTTCGAGTTTGGTGTCATTTGCTCTGATACGTAGCACTCGGGGGGAAATGAACGCTTGTTTTATTTTGTTGTTTATTTATCGAACTTTATGTTGTTATTTGAGGAATTATCATATTGATGTGGTTTTATGATTCAAAAGATTCTATGTATCATATGAAGAATTATTATGAATCCGCTGTGTGATTAATCAAAGTTGGTTTATGTTATGAAGACTTTATTCATGAGTTGTGTTCATTCCGTTTTCTTTAACTGTTATGTATCTATTCTAAAAGCATGACAGGTTTATGTGTCTCTGTTGAATGTGTAGCATCCTGATTATTTTAGAAATTTTTATACTCTGATTTTCTGTAAATTGCTTGGGGTAGAATTGGGGTGTTACAATAGTGGTATCAGAGAAGATCGGCCCGTCCGGTCAAGTTATCGAGTCGTAGTTGTGTAACAATCGAGTATTGTTAGTTTTTCTTAACCGTTGTTTGTGTTGCAGTAATAAGATAAGATGGTTGGGAGGAACGATGTTGCGATTGCCGCTGCTCTGCAAGCGATGGCTCAGGCTATGCAGAATCAGCTGATTGCGGACGAGAATGCCGGATCTCGTAGCTTGGCGACTTTCTAAAGGTAAAATCTATCAGTGTTCAAGGGTAGGCATGATCCTGATGGAGCATTAGATTGGTTGAAGGAAATCGAGAGTATTTTTTGTGTGATGGATTGCACCCCGACACATAAGGTTTGGTATGGCACTCATATGCTAGCAGTTGAGGCTGATGACTGGTGGCTAGAAATGTGTGCAAGGTTGGAAGTTGCAGGTGAGGAAATCACTTGGATTGTGTTCCGTAAGGAGTTTCTGAGGAAGTATTATCCTGAAGATGTTCGGGGTAAGAAAGAGATTGAGTTCCTTGAGTTAAAGAAAGGGAACAAATTTGTCACTGAGTATGCTGCTAAGTTCATTGAGCTAGCTAAGTTCTATCCACATTTTGATGGTGAATGTGCTGAATTTTATAAGTGCATCAAGTTTGAGAATGGGTTGCGCTCGGAAATCAAGAAGGTTATTGGATATCAGAAGATTTGTGTCTTTTCTGATTTGGTTGATAGTTGCATGATCTTTGAAGAGGATAGCAATGCTCATCACAAGACTGTTAGTGATAAGAGAGGCAAGAATCAATAGAACAGTGGCAAGCCTTATGATGATGGTAGGGGTAAACAAAGAGTTGCTCATGGTCAGAGGACTAGTGGAGGAGATGCTCCTGCTAGAGTTGTATGTTTCAAATATGGGCAACCTGGTCACAAGAGTAATGTGTGTACTACTGCGGATGGGAAGAGGTGTTTCCGTTGTGGTAATATTGGGCATACGATATCTGACTACAAGCATAGGGAGATGATCTGTTTCAACTGTGGTGGAGAAGGACACATTGGTAGTAATTGTCCAAAACCAAAGAAGGCACAAACTGCTGGCAAGGTGTTTGCTTTGGCTGTGACTTCGACAGCTAGTGAGGACAGACTCATCAGAGGTACATGTTTCATTAATAGTACTCCTTTAATTACTATTATTGATAGTGGTGCTACTCATTGTTTTATTGCTGCTGATTATGTTGAAATATTGGGTCTTGTTTTGTCTTCTATGGATGGAGAAATGGTCGTCGAGACCCCGACTAAGGGATCGGTGACTACTTCTCGTGTGTGTTTGAATTGTCCTTTGTCGATCTTCAGAAAAGA